CTGTGGCTGGCAGAAGGAGGGGGGGAGGGCAGTGCAGGTATGTGCCGCTTGCGGGGTGGGCTCTGTGGCTTTGCCGGGCAGACTCGGAGCAGGGAAAAGGCTTTGCTTTGTGGGGACTTCAAGCAGGTGTTGTGCCCCTAGGACATCTTGGAAGCTGCCTGTGTGAGGATGGTCCTGCCAGGTATTTCTTTCTCCCTCTCTCTTCCTCCTCCTCCTCCTCCCTACCCCGTAGTGCCACGGGGCCCAGCACCCGCTGCGGGAAGCAGCCTGTCTCAGCCCCACACACAAGAATCTCATTTTAGGCACTTGGATTTTAAAAAAACTGACACGAGACAATAAGTATGTCAAATAGGAGGAGAAAAAAAAAAAGACCTGAGGGGACATTGGACTGCTGCTTCTTACAGAACTGCTGGAAGAAGGAGAAGCATTTGCTTTCTTCCAGCTAGGAGCAGCTAAAAATACCACTTAAAGAATATAAGCGTTTCTATGAGTACTTCAAATTTCCTGTGGAATTAGCTGTTGATTATTTACCGACCTGACAAATTAATTATTTCTTTTAAAGTGAAACAAGTAAAAGCCTGGTTCCCTTGTTTGCACCTTGCTCTTGGTGCTTTCCTCCCATCTTATGGCCAAAGCCAGCAGGGACCATCCTGGGAGCCCAGCCCCTAAACTGCTGCCCTTCGTCCTGTCCCCCTGTTCTATCAAGAAGCAGAAGCTGAAGGCCTGGACCTTGTTGGCCTCGTGAGGAGCTGCAGACACCGCGGCTGTTTCCTCACCTGCTGGCAGGGCCTCGGGCCTCCCCCCCCCCCTGCCCCGCCCCAGCCAGTCCTGGCACCTCGGGCATGTGCTGTGCTAAGGCGTCTTTAAAAACCCCAAACTGGTGGTAAAAGTCCATCGCTCTGGTCACAGGGAGGGTCGAATCCCTGCAGCGGCTCAGGACCCTGCCCACAAACAGCCTGCAGCGCCCTTGGAGGGAGACGTCCAGCAGGAGCTGAACCCCAGGGGCCGGGGAGCAAAACCGCCCGCCGCCGGGGCTCTCCTCCGCGCACCGGGGCTGTCGGGTGCGCTGGCACCCAAAGCCGAAGCTCACCGCGGGTGTCCTGCCCGACGTGCCAGCCTGCCCGGAGGCGTTCGGGGTGCCCTGGGGGCCCCTCCACCCTACCAGCGCTGAGGCTGCTCGTCGGAAACCCTGTGCCAGAGGCAGTTTAACCGGGTCCTGCTTGCTGGTGGTTTGCAAATGGGCAAAACGAAAGATAAAGGCAGCCCCGTCGCTCAGCGTGGCCCGGAGGAGCCAGGCGAGAGCATCCCCTCGCTGGTGCAGCTCCAGAAGATGCCCGTGAGTCACCTGCCGCCAGAGGCGGAGAGGCCGACCATGTGCAGCACCCTGCTGCAGTGAGCAGCCCACC